GAAAGTATCAATATGATTGGTTGGGACTTATTTGAGGGATTGCAATTCAGGACCGGGTCCTGGGATCGATTTATCATTATGTCAAGGATCTAGATCCAGGGACGTCCTAGCAGATCCTAGGATCGGACCGGACTGGATTCACAATTTAACATCCCTAATTGTCAACCTTGGCTCTTGCATAGATATTGGTTATAAAAAAAGCAAACTTTGACTATGTAATTTGATCGGCGACATATTTTTTTTAAGACATCTATCTTATGTCATCACTAAGTCTGCGTAAAAATAACATTACAACTTATGTACAATACATCAATCTCATTTATAATAATTTTATAACATTTTATTTTTTTTACGAAACGATACTATTTTTAAATAAATTTCCTTTTATTATCATTAATGTCTTCTCAGAAACATGAACCATTTCGTTATGAATTGGAAAAATATTCAAGATCATATTCCTCTACTTCTGCAACTTCAAATCAATGGACTCATATATCACGACCAAATGTTTTCGTTTTTCTTGAAAATATGTTTCCTGCAGGTGTAATTGTTGCAGGAGTTGGTGAACCTATATTAAAAGTTATCGCTGACCAAAATACATTATTAGTACATATAATTTTATTATTATTATTATTATTATTATTATTTTGGTTTAAAATTTGATTATTGCATTGAATCAATATAAATAATAATAATAAAATCAGGAATGTTTGAATTTTTCCTATCGACATACGAATATTTTAAAAGCAAAAGCTTTATTGAGAAGTCCTACAATTGGAATAAGATACAATTATTCAATAGTAGATCGAAATGGAGTGGTAAAGTCCTTTTTTTTTTATAACTGTTCGACAATAATAATAATAATAACAATAACATAATAACTACGTGATAGACTACCGCACAAGAAACTCGCAAATTTCAATTAAGATTTAAAACTAATGAAGATTTCGAATCTTGCGCCGGAATTATTGGGAGATATATTAGTTGTAAACCTATCCTTGGGAACGATTCGAGCGTGTCATCATCGGCTAGTAATAATGAATTAGGAATATCAAATCAAACCCAAATATTAAGTAAAGTTCAAACACCATTCAATAATATTGGTGCAATGCACCAACAAATTACAAGGTTACAAAGAGAACAATCGGTGACACCGACTACGCGTCAGGAATCGAGTCAAAAAGATTATAATATTCCTGATTCCTCTTCACGATCTTCCGCTTCATCTTCAACATCGTCATTTGCTACAACAGATATCAATTCAAGACCTGCACAAAATCAACATAATTCATCAAAAATTCCTACTTCAACAAC